GGCATTCCTTAGCTTGTAGATGGTCATGTCTTCCCTGTGTCACCTTCCATCATCTTCCCTCTGTGTGTCTCTCTGACTCCTGACACATTACTGTCATAAAGACACCAGGCATATTGGACTAGGGGCCGACCTTACTCCAGTATGAATTCATTTTAACTTAACTAATTATATCAGCAATGACCCTATTTTCCAAGAAGTTCAAATTCTTCAGTACTGCAGATTGTGACTTCAACTGCATCATACTGGAGATATGAATTGTGAGGACACAATTCTACTGAATTACACAGGGCAAAGGGGGCTTAGCAGATGTGATTAATTCAAGGATCTTGAATTGGGGAGATTATTCTAGAATATATGGGTAGACCTAATATAATCACAAGGCTTGTGATAGAAGGGAAACAGTAGAGCAAGAATGAGAAAAAAGCAACATGATAAGGGAAGGAGGACATCCTTGAAGTTGGAAAAAGCAAGAAAACACATTATTCCCTATAGCTACCAAAAAGAACTCACACCTGCTGAAACCTTGATTTTATCTCAGTAGAACTGATTTGGATTTATGACCACCATAATTGCAAAAGAATGTAATTCTATTGTTTTAAGTCACCAAGTTGGTGATAATTAGTTACATCAACAACAGGAAACTAATAAAAGCAATACAGGAGAGGATAAAAGCAGAAATGTCTAGAGATACAGTAGAAGTTATAAAATGTATTAAGAGAAAGTGATGTCCAATTTGAGCCAAGAAATTTTCAAACTTTTAAGAGATAGAACAATTTCATAGAAAACTATATACTAACCAAAGTCGACCATGGCAGAAATAGGAAAACTAAATAGATTTATAACCATTAAAAATATTTGACAATTACAAATAAAAATTTATAGGGAAATTTTTACCCTGCTGTGTACCCATGACAAAATTAAAAACAAGACACATGCTGGGATGTGTTTATAACGATATAACCAAGAAAGTATTCAGAAGGTTATAGAACTCTTTCAAGTGACTAAGAAAACATCCAAAATGAAAATAGGTAAGGATATAAAAGGCAATTTGAGAAGAGGAAAGAGGAGTGGTCAGTGAATATATAAAACCTCAGCCTCCACAATACTCAAGGACATCAAGTTAAAAGAAATTACTATTTAAATTCTATCACAGCAATAAAGTTAAAATATCTAATAACTTTATATGTAAAGATAATAGGAAGATAAGTCTATTAAACTTTTCTAGGTGGAGAAAAAACGACCACAGAGAACAATCTATACATCCACTTAAGAGAACAATTTGCCTAAACTGGTAAAGATAAGACTTGTTAAAACAATCAGCAATACCAATTCCTGGTATCTCCATGAACAATATTAAACTATGTGAACTAGGAGGTATTTACAAAAATGCTCACTGCAACATGGCTTAAAAATAATAAGTATAATTAATAGTGAAATAACAAATAGTGGTTTATTCATACAGTGGAGTGTGTAGTTATTACAAGGAAAGAAGTGGTTCTATACATGTTTTCATAGATGACTCTTAAAAAGGAAATGTTGGATGTAAAGAGCAATTGTCAGAATGCTACGTGCTACATGGCATCATTAATGAAAAATCTCAAAATAAAAACACAATACAATACATTGTTTTGTGATACTTATCTCTATCAGTTAAATTTAAAAAGACATGCATGGTATCTTCCCAAGAGTGATTTCTACTATGGAATGAGAGAAGAAGGAGCAAGGATTACTACTTTAGCTCTGTGTGAAATGTTTGGGGAGGGGGTGGGAAAGGGAGGGGAGAATCTATAGAAAATACCAAAATTAAACATTTGCTTACCTGTTTATTCTCATTGCCAGGTACTAAAGTGTCTGACCTATAATTTTCTATACTATTTCACATAATAATTACTTCATAAATTTAAAAAATTACTTTTAAATGGTTAGCAACCATCAGTTTTTACTATCTCCAACAATCCACACAATGGAGAATGGGACCCTTACTACATATGACTTTGACAGGTGTATTCTGGTACAGGTGTATTCTGGCTCCCTCCTCCAGTCCACAATGCAAACTTTTTCAATACATAAAAAGAGAAAGTAAAAAAAAATAAAATAAGTTGTCCTTAGAATAAGATACGTGCCCGAAAGCTGTCAGTACATGAACTCCCCCTAGCTCTCAAAATTTGTTTCGTTTTCTTTTCTAGTAATTCGAAAAATTGTAGAAGAAATCTGAAATAGTATCTATGTCTGCTTGCAGTAGTTTTCATTGGGCTGAAATATAAAAGAATGAAGCAGAACACAGTGCCCAGAATACAGTGCCCACTTCGTGGCCAGCATCAGAGGAGGGCCATTAGCAAGAATCGTAAGAGGGAGAAGGAACTGGGGAGATCTGGGAACCTCAAGTGTGATTCTGTGGCTTCATTTGGTCTCGGAGCTTGGGGATTTCTGTAAAGAAACCAGGGACAATCTAATGAGAGTTTGCAAAATAGATCAATTATTCTCATTTGTGTTTCTTTATGGGTTGGTCCAACAAAAGTACATTTTTTGCAGTTTGGTAGTTTGATGCAAACTCTTTCACCAGATGAAGTTTCAGAGTAAATTAGTCTCTAAGTCCTAGCCTCAAGCAATCCTCCTGCTTCAGCCTCCTAAAGTGCTAGGATTATAGGCATGAGCCACCACCACCAGCCTCTCCATAAATCGGAAAAGTGTCTTCAGCCTTTAAATATCCAAAGAGGGAAATAATTTTATTTTGGACATTTATACTATTAATAGTTTTGAATATTTTCACTGATAAAATTGCATTTTATGAGAGGTTTCCTGATAGCTATAATAAGAATTATAGAATTGCATGAAACAATACTCATATGCTCATGGCTATAACATGGCTGAATATCTATTTTCCGGGTGCATGGAACTTACAGAAAAATTAACCAAAAAGTCACATTATAAATAATAGGTCTTTACTACTGTTACTATTGACACCGTATTACACAACAGGAGAGATTATAGAACTCCAAAATTTCTTTAAACACATTTGTCTGAGCAGATGCTTTGCTGTTGTGAAGTTACCAGTTCACAGAGTTTCACGGGTAAGTAGTAAGGAAGGGAGATGATGACTGCTTTGTCTCCTGTATTGAACCCAAGGATTGGTGAGCATGCTTCACCTTAGAAACAGTTGGAAGCAAGAAAGCATTCAACACAGGATGAATTTCTTTGCAATCAAAGCCATGATTCATAGTAAATTTGTTTCAGATAAGCCCCTAAGATTTATTACAGATTTATTTACTAAACTAGGAAATTTTAAATGATTAATCTCCTAATATGCCATTCAATATTAAGTTTTATACTTGTCCTAAACCAGATACAATCATTTGTCATTTGTTAATTGTATCACAAGAAAGAGAAAAAGAATGTTTAGTGTGGGCCCAATTTTCTAAACTCAGTGTCATGGCACATTCAAACTTGACCCACCCAGAAACCACATTTCAGGGGCAGCTGCTAAATGCACATGAGGGACCCTGCACCTCTACTGTCAGGGAACACAGCAGGGCTATTTCAACATGAGAGAATCGTGCCATTATGCTGCTTGCCAGGCTGCTGTGGGCATTCATGGTCTCCATCTGCTTATTTGGTCTCCAATAATTGCAAAGCACGGTGTGGCTGTCTGTTGCTACTCAGAGGTGAAATGAGATAGAGAAACAGTTGTCTCAAGTAATGAGAAACTCTTTTGCACACCACTCATTGATACGCTATTTTGATCTGTTTCAAAGAACTAGAAATGTTTTGGAGATCTTGTCTATACTCTATTTTCTAGCTGTGTCTTGGTCACTTTATATTAATTCATCCATTAAGAAAATTAAAAGATGTAAAAGATTAACAAGTAAATTCCTCTTGATCACATAAAAGCATACAAAAAGTTCAGCTCCCAACTACAGTGGTTTTGCATGCTCGAAGTGTTTGTAGACTATCCCATTCTATAAGAGTAGATAATGACATTATATCACAGAGAGGTCTGGCATGCTTATCGTGACTTTATTTTACACTTAGAAAAAATGTGCAGCTGCAGAATCTAGCACAGAGATTAAATACTTTGGATCAATGGGCTAGAAAATATGACATCGAGACAATTCAAGGGCACATGATCTAAATAAGTTCGATGCTACTTGTGAGGGCACCAGGACTGAATATCCTGATCCCAGTCTAATAAATCAAACTCAATGTCAGATTTTGAAGGTTTAAATTTTATTTCTGTTATAATTTTATAAAAACACAAGTAGTTCAATAGATCCTGAAAGTCACAAGGACTGGTATTTACCATTTGATTTTGAAGTGGCTTTATTCACTGTAGAATGTAAGTAGAGTCCTGAACTCAGTAAGGAGGCAGAAACGTAGTAATTGCAAAGGATAGGATTACCTGTCACAAACAAAGCCAAAGATCCATGAATATTTTTCTTTTAGATTTCATTAGATACTGCATAAAGAAAAGCACATATATGCTGAATGAATGACAAGTAAGTAACTGACAAAGAGGGTCCATGGCTCATTATAAATTCTACTTTAAACAGATCCCAGATTTATTCAACTGAATAAAATCAACATATGTCAACTGCAGTTCCCCGCAGCTCCAACCTTCAGTATGAATTGCTTTTTCCATGCCTGTTCTCTAGGTACTATCTAATTTAATAATCAAGAAAGGACAAGTAGGCAAAGTAAAAATTTAGGGTTAGCTAGTCACAGTTTCTCCTCTCTGTGCACAGATCACGTGATTATGAACATGAGAAACCCAATTTCCTGTGTGGGGAGGTGACATGAGAACACAAGAACTAGACGTAAACACTGCTGGGCACTCACAGACAGGGAACCTGGAGCTTCAGGTGGCACGAAGCACATTTGTGCAGGGGGATTTATGCCACATGCCGCCCTTCAGCCTGCTGTGGGTATTCCTGGCCTTCAGCCACTCTGGTACGGATGGTTCCAAACATGGGTGAGGATGTTAAGGATGAGAGGGTTGCACACAGGCGTGTGGAACTTCTCATGCACTTGAGGAGGAAAGGGGAAATTAGAGAAAAGCAAGCATACTAGGGTTTCAATTTGGTTTGTCTTTGGGTCTAAATTAGTCTAAATCTTACAACATTTTACGCACTACATCAGAGAATCAACTGTGTTTTCTGATTTTTCCCACAGGATCCACTGTGGCCCAGAAAGTTACTCAAGCTGAGACAGCCAGATCCACCACAGTAGGGCGGGCAGTCACCCTGAACTGCCGGTATAAAATAAGCGTGACTCAATACTATATTTATTGGTACAAGCAACTTCCCAGCAAAGAGATGATTTTCCTTCTTGGCCAGTATTCTGGTAGTCCGAATGTAAAGGATGGTCGCTATTCTGTCAACTTCTGGAAAAATGCTAAGTCCATCAACTTGACCATTTCAGCCTTACAGCTGGAAGATTCAGCAAAGTATTTCTGTGCTCTCTGGGATGCACAGTGTTTGAAGTGATAGTGAAGGCAAAACAAAAACCCCAGAGCTCAAAAACACGAAGCACCCCGACCCCGTGCTGCAGGAGCCAAGCTGAAATGCACATCTGCAGATTCCAGGCAAGAAATGGGAGTGACTGTGGTCTGTGATCTCAATCTGTGGTCTGCATCAGAAGATTGAATTCTAAGTAAAACCTCCTTATATCTCCTTTGGGAACAGGTGTTCAGAACAACTTTCTTCTAATACTTGAATTTTGACTTAAAATAGATCATACATAAAATGTATAGATTTATCCAAAGTTGAAAAACCCGTCCAACAATCATGTAAAGTGGCAGTTTCATTTAAAGTTGCTCGAGGCAGAAATCTGGGTCTATTTATCTGGAATCGCTTTAAAAATCTTTCCTGAGCCCTTACCCCTTAGGCTTTGTGGCAATTAGGTTACAATCAGAGAAGCAGAACCACCATGAGTGATAGAGAATAAGAGCGTATTCATAATGATTTGACCTCATGCAATTCCTGGAGCTGGTGGACTTTCAGCAGATATTCAGTTGTCTGTGTGTTATGAAATTATGATAAAAATAACATTGTTTCAAAAATCTGACATTGAGTTTCATTTACTAGACTCTGAAGAAGATCAGGATATTCAGTACTGCTGCTTTCACAAGTAGAATACTTACCACTAGAGCATGTGTGCTAGAATTGTCCCCATATCACATTTTCTATCCCATTGATCCAAAGCATTCAGTCACTTAATTAAATTCTGGGGCTGTGCATTTAGTATGTGCATTAATAAAATAAAATCAGGACAAGCATGTCAGACATCTCTGTGATACAAGCACAATGCATTCCTACTCCTATGCAAAGCTGTTGTCTTTGTATCCGGTATTGAGCCTGAATTTACTACAGGTCAGCTAGACTAAGATTTGAGAAGGTAAGTTGGATGTGGACAAGAGCATGCACAAACTGTGACTTGGAAGGACATACTGCAACCCTTGAGGACAAACAGAACCTACAAGAACAAACTAAAATTTGTCTTTTTCCCCATTTGGTCTCATAATGGTGGATGATCTTCAAAAGAAGCATTAGTATTTGCCATCAGGATTCCTGGGCACTTTGCCCAAGACAAGGAAAAGCTGAAGGAGGAGATCACATGGGAAATGAAGTTTTCAGTCAACAATAAGATGGATTATTAGATCAGGAGCAAATGGTGCTCCTGGAGCCTGGCACCAATCTTACCCATGTATTTCTAGTTAACCCAGAACAATACTGGGAAGCCAATTCTGGAAAAAGTATTTCTAGTTCCTTAAGTTGAAACAGTGCAAAGCTACCACAGTACCCCCCTTGTAAACTTGACATTCATATGCACCTCTCCTAACAAAATTTAACTTTCAAATAAAGACAGTAGAAAATGTATGCTTCCTGCTAATGTGGTGTAATTATTATTTTTTCAATAATAAACATGCTAACTCTTACCACTAAGAAAGATACAGAGTTCATTTATATATCTTTGGGTCATGTTCTATGCCCTTCTAACTCTTGCATTGGTATCTGGTAGCTTAGCTACTGAAATATAATGAGATATAACATTAACTTAATAGGACATCTTTTGCTTCTACATGTAGGTAAATGGGAGTAGAGTAGAAACATACTTAATAGATACTTAAATATACTCATGTGACAATGAAAAAGTAAGTTTCATAGCACTGTAATTCTTTTTTCTACAATGATCATATGATTATAGCTGGGTTTTGTTTTTGTTTTTGTTTTTGAGACAAGGTCTGTCTTTGTTGCTAGGCTTGAATACAGTGACCTTGTCAAAGCACACTGTAAACTCACACTCCTGGCTCAAAAGATTCTCTGCTGAGTAGCTGGGACTATAAGCATGTGCCACCCGCCTGGCTACTTTTTCCATATTTTGTAGAAACGGGGTCTCACTCTTACTCAGTCTTTTCTCAAACTGCTGGCCTCAAGCGATCCTCCCCCCTCGGGTCCCTAAAGTGCTACGAATACAGATGTGAGCCACTGCTCCTGGCCCTGTGGTTCGTTTTTATAACTACCTTTTCCATTACCCACTCACTAATCTCTCCATTCTCTATAAGCACCTTCAGTCACTGGCACACTTGACTTTCTTTAAAGAAGTTATTTGGTCAAGAGCAATGCCACAGGGAATGTCATAAATTTGAATAGGGAATTCCACAAGTCCAGCACTGTGGCTTTGGCAGAAGCATTGTAGGCATGGAAGGCAAATCCATACTTAGAGTGTTTATTCAAGTAAAATAAAAAATACAAAACACAACACAACTTTCCAACAAACAGCCAGAGAAAGTTGATGCACCGTGTTCTGGGAAACGTCTCTAAGGATGATGATGCCTGAGTTCTCAACAAAAACAGTAGAAGTCACATTGCTGGTGGGACTACAAACTAGTTCAACCTCTATGGAAAGCAATATGGACATACTTTAAAGCGATATAAGTAGATCTACCATTTGATCCAGCAATCCCATTACTAGGCGTCTACCCAAAAGAACAAAAGACATTCTATAAAAAAGACACCTGCACTCAAATGTTTATAGCAGCACAATTCACAATTGCAAAGTGTTGAATCAACCCAAGTGCCCATCAATACATGAGTGGATTAATAAACTGTGGTATGTGTATACCATGGAGTACTATTCAGCTTTAAGAAACAATGGTGATATAACAGCTCTTGTATTTTCCTGGATAGAGCTGGAACCCATTGTACAAAGTGAAGTATCCCAAGAATGGAAAAATAAGCAACACATGTACTCACCAGCAAATTGGTATTAACTGATCAACACCTAAGTGGACATATAGGAATAACATTTATCAGGCATCGGGCAGATGGGATGGGGAGGAGGGGATGGGTATCTACATACATAATGTATGTACTGTCTGGGGTATGGATACACTTGAAGCTCTGACTCCAAGGCAGGAAGTGGGGAAGGCATCACACGTAACCTAAACATTTGTACCCCCATAATATGCTGAAATAAAGAAATAAAATAAAATAAAACAGTAGAAGTCAATGAAGAAAGCGTATTTTTAAAGTGCTTAAACAAAATAAGCAAATAAAACTTTTAAGCTAACTTCCTATGAACATGATAATATACTTTTCAACTATTTTTTGTCAAAAATTACCATTAAGAAGGTAGAAAGTCAATGCACAGACCAGAAAACTATGTTTGTATTGATATATTTCTGAAAAACAACTCAAACACAAATATATAAAAGCTCATACAAATCAATAAGAAATGAAACAACCAATAGAAATGGCAGAACTTTGAAGAGTTCCTTCAGAAATATGATATAGAAATATTATATTGAATAGTATTAAATAATAAGCATAAAAAACAGTTGCTATCATTACTCATTAGGGAAATGAAAACAAAACTTATTTGAATATTCAACCTGTGTCCCTTAAGCATCCCAAATGTGTTAATGTATCCAGGAGGGAGTAATGCCCAACAGATAGAAAAAGATAATGACTACCTCAAGGGAAAGGGATAGTTGAGTAAGTTTTTTAGAAACTTCCATCACTGAACCTACGGGCAGAGAAGAAGAAACAGTAATGGGCCACAGACGTGGACAATGAAGGAAAGGCAGGTTTTACCATAAAAAAAAATGAAAGTTGATATCTATTAAGTATTGTAAATATCAGGCACCATATTACACATTTCTCATTCATTATCTATGAAATATGTTTTATTGTGCCCCTTTGTTTTATATTTGGGAAATGAGACATAACTTTCCCTAACTTTGGAAAACATGTCTAACCTTTGAGAGCCAGAGTGTAGCATCTTATAAGGCTCCTAAACAGCAAGATTGAAACTATGGAGAAGCACTTCCCCCAGAACTGTGACCTGGCTGTCTCAATGAGGGTGACAGGGTGACAAACCTAGGTACAAATTGCCTTAGGATCAATAGATGAGGAAACCATCAAATGACAGCTTAATAGTCGGAATAGTAAGCGAGTCTTTTCTACATCAGTGTTCTGGGAGTCTAAGGGGCTAGAGTGAAAGAGGAGATATTGATCCTTAAACTCTGCCAGCATGTTTCCACATCAGGACGTTTGCCCCTTTCCTTTGCTCTCTCTGCCTGTAATGCTATTCCACCAAATGTCTTCATAGTGTACCTCTGAACTCCCTTTACGTCTTTCCTCAAACGTCACCTCTTTATGAAGCCTTTATCTAAATCTTTCTATTTTCCTTCTTTGAGGGTCAGGCTCCAGCATGCCCCACATGTCCAGAAGTAAAGCGATTTCTGCTAAAGCACTGCCCACTGGTGTCTCTGAAATACATCCTGAGGTTTACACTGGGCACCCTGCTGCTGCCTGTGTTATTCATGGGTTGAGCTGTGGGGAAGTCTACTTGCAATAGGAGCCACCCATTTCTGAACCAGTCAGTACCTTCCCACTGCAGTACTCATGGGAGAGAGGATGCAGGAGGACTGGCTGGGTTCTTATCTTTTGCCCAGGAGATGCGAAGGTGATTGACTTCAAAATGACAAATATATGAGATGATTTA